CTGTTCCTGTTCCACAAGGGCAGGGTAGCGGAGTGATACATTTTATGACAAGATGTTATTAAGATATGCGGTCGGTTGTTCGGTTTAGCTCCGCCAACAACAAGTTCCGGCCCTCTGCAGACAAAGGGGACTATTTGCAATTGATGTGCCATTGCACGTCAACGATTGGTTGTTGATGAGTGCAATTGCTCTTTTCAGACAACAGACGGCGATACTTACCGACAAACGTGAAACACGAGCGGACGTGATAGAAGGCGGTTGGGCAATCACGTCCACTATATGCGGTCCATATTTGTGATCAATAACCAATCGTTGATGTGCAATGGCACATCATCAGCTGTTTAAAATGCTAATTTCAAACAAATGATGTGCCATTGCACATCAACGATTGGTCCAGACTATAGATGAGGTTCGATAACCAATCGTTGATGTGCAATGGCACATCATTATTTGTTTGAAATGAGCATTTCAAACAAATGATGATGTGCCATTGCACATCAACGATTGGTCCAGACTGCAGATGATGAACCAATCAACGCCCAACCGTGTCCAACCGTGGCCTTCTATCACGTCCGTTTATGGTTGTCATCACGTTGGTTGGCAAGTATCGCCCTCTGCTGTTTAAAATCGTTCATTTCGGTCTAGCTTCCAACTTAAAATGAGCTGTGATGAATCAATACATATTTCTGTTCCTATTTATAGCTTTATCCTGATATATTTCTGCTTTTTTGTAATACCATTAATTTATTTTTATTTGGTTAATTTAAAGAAAACATTTTACTTAGTTTTTTTTACTTTCTTGAACCTCACTTACTTTGCATGTTGTAACTTTATAAAACTTTATTTTGACCAAACATATGCATTTTTGCATAACTGATCATCATGGGAAGACGCCTATAACAATTGCAATTTATTAATAATGTGGGGTTCTTTGCTTCATAATATGGATTTAAATTACATAAACAGCAAAAAAGTGTCAAAGCAACAATATGACATCAGAAGAGTTGTTTTTCTCGGTACGCCTGATGACCTCTTACAGCACTAGTGTGCCGCAGCACAGTGCTTGATAATCACTGTCTTAGCAACCTGTCTGCATGGTGTATGTGCATGGATGTAAAATGCACATAATATCTATCTATTTTATTCATGTTCCATGAGTGCAGTGTAGCGTAGGAACGGCTGTACGGTTTAGCTCCACCAACGAGATCCGGCCAAAACGTCAATGAGTGAAGTTGCACGTTTGGGCCAGAAGAGGGCGATAAGCTATTGCCTTAAATATTCAGCCACACATGGAGCAGACAACCCTTTGGAGGGAAGTTGTTTATATATGCAGTTGCACGTTTGAGCCACAGGAGGGCGAATCATGCAAACAACCTAATGGCTGCCAGGTTGATACAGCGTTCCTTTGATTTATTTGCTGTATAACTGTTTAAAATCGTTCATTTCGGTCTAGCTTCCAACTTAAAATTAGTTGTGATGAATCAATACATATTTCTGTTCCTATCTATAGCTTTATCCTGATACATTTCTGCTTTTATTAAAAAAAAACTTTTTTACTTAGTTTTTTCTACCTTTCTGAACCTCACTTACTTTGCATGTTGTAACTTTATAAAACTTTATTTTGACCAAACATATGTATTTTTGCATAACTGATCATCATGAGAAGACGCCTATAACAACTACTATTGGTCATGGTTGGTTCTATAGCTGGCTGGTTAAATAGAGTTAATGATTAGTGTAATTGCTCTTTTCAGACAGCAGAGGGCGATACTTGCCAACCAACGTGAAACATAAGCGGACGTGATAGAGGGCCCAGACACGGTTGGGCGTTGATTGGTTCATCATCTTCAGTCTGGACCAATCGTTGATGTGCAATGGCACATCATTCATTTGTTTGAAATGAGCATTTTAAACAGCAGATGATGTGCCATTGCACATCAACGATTGGTCCAGACTGCAGATGATGAACCAATCAACGATTGGTCATTGATTACAAATATGGAACCAACCAGGTCCGGCCAAAACGTCGATGAGTAAAGTTGCACGTTTGAGCCACAAGAGGGCAATAACCTATTGGCTTATTCAGCCACACATGGAGCAGACAACCCTTTGGAGGGAACTTGTTTAAATATGCAGTTGCACGTTTGAGCCACCAGAGGGCGAATCGAATTTAAAAAATAAAAAAACGATATAAATTCATGCAACTTTATCACATGCTTTAGCTAAAAAAAGTAGTAAAATGTGGCTGAAAAAAAACAACCTGTCAAAGTTGTAGAATACTTCCACAATGAACACAGTAACAACAACTTTTTACTCTTTTATTGGCAAAAGACTTCACATTTACAAAACATACAATCAATCATAAAGTCCATAGATACACTTTTAAAAACAATGTCAGTCTTGTCTGTACTGGAGTTGTCCAGCTGATGTGTCACTCTCTCTTTAGTCAATACCTGTGAAAGGCTTAAATCAGTGTCTTTTCATACCTTTAATAGTGAGGTTGAATCAGCTCCACACTGAAGGACCACTGCGCTCGGCTGGTTCATCTCTGTTACTATGGCCATGATCTAAACCATGAAGGCAGGTTTTGTAAAGTATTGTCTGCACGATTCGCCCTCCTGTGGCTCAAACGTGCAACTTCACTCATGAATAAGTTCACGCCAAAACGTCGATGAGTGAAGTTGTACGTTTGAGCCACAAGAGGGCAAAAAACCTATTGGCCGGACCTTGTTGTTGGCGGAGCTAAACTGAACAACCGACCGCATTACAGACAAGATTTCATCCTAAATGTGTTCCTACACTGAACTGCCCTCGTATGTTTTCTCAACCCTGCTCTAACTCGTCTAGTGTTCGGTACTTGTGACAGCTGCTCCTGGTCCACTCACTTCAGTAACATCTTTGCTTCCCCTTCGGTTGGTTTCTCAGTGTCTTCAAGTCTGGGGAGATCCAAAACAGTAAGGTTAAAAAAAAGTAATATAATTTAGCAATACTAGAACTTTATTAAGGTCTTTTTATTTTTTTTATTTTTACAAACTAACAAACCACTCTGCAGTTAAATACCACAACTACCCCAGCAATCAGCAGTGAAGCAGCCTGTTGGATCTGAGGTTGAATGCCCCCCCCCCCCACATGCTTACCTTTAGTAGTTAATTGATTTGTTCTTCTTCCACATTACACACAGCAGTCCACCTCCTACCGTGGGACAAGTCAGTGGGTCAGCTGCTGACCCACCTGTCCATCCCATCGTCCAGGTGAAGGTGTTGTGATGAAACAGCTACAGCATTAACATCAGTCTCAAAGTATTCAAGCATTCCATGTTTTTAATAAGGTGAAGGGTCTCTTCAGGGCAGGGGTGGGCGACCTTTACCACAAGGTGCTGCTGTGGTTGGAACAGAAACCTGCAGCCACAGCGACCCCTTGTGGAACAGGTTTCCCAGCCCTGGTTTACAGGGTGTACATAGATAAAGTCAAACATCACAGCCTGCTACAGTGCAGATGGTCCAGAGGAAAAACCTCCTACGAGGAGCAGCAGTGTTAGTGACAGCTCTGTCCTACTGTCAGGTCAGGTGACTTATTGCATGCTGTCGGTCCTCCATCACTACGTCCAGGAGGAGAACTTTAAGCGCGGTGGTGGCTCCATCAGTGCAGTCCAGGCGAACGGTCTGACCGACTTGGTTTGTCTCCAACCTCCTGCAGCCACACCCAGATGGCACAGGTCACTCTACCAGCACCACCTTTCTCCTCTCTGTCTTTGTCGTCCTCCTGCTCTCCTCCCCCCGGAGTAGGCAGCTCCTCTGGATGTTGGTCCTCCTACTCAGGGTCTAGGCCTTGTCAGGACGACTGCATGAGCCCCGTCAGTCGTTTGCCCGTCAGTGACTTACCCTGAGTGAACACAAGGTGAATGAATACAATGAGCACAAGGAATTCTGGGATACAAGGGGTCGCTGTGGCACTTGGCCAACCCCTGCTGTATACAGTGGATTTTAAATGATACAAAATGGTCTTTTGTATTGTAAACCATTAGTAAAAAAAAAGCTGCAAGCTGAGATGATGCTTTAGCTACATTTACAAAATAAACAGACAACTAAAAGTTGACAAATGTCCACATGTCTCCTCTCTGGTCTTAATGAAAGATAAGAGGACACTCTTCTGTCTACCTGACCCATCACATTTTTATGAAATACAATTTCTACAGTGAAAACTCTCACCACACTGCGGGTGAACTTCTCCAGGGAGGTGCGTCGTCCCTGCTCCGTCTCCGGCTGCAGAGAAAAACAAAACAAGAATGAAAAGTTTTGTTCTTTTAGAACAAATTCAACCACTTTTTCACACAGAGGCGTTCACATGTAACTGTCAAAGTGGTGTCAAAACGTCTGCCTGTTCCCTGTAACCAATGTGTGACTGTGGTCCAGTGGGGGGTGGGTTGTCATCTAACCGAGCCATGTATCATGTTAGCTCACATATAACACAAATGTAGCCATTTTAGAATTTTCTTTTTCGTGTCAATTTTAAACACTTGCTAATGATTACATTTATCAAATGCTAATTCAGCCATGACACAGAGCAACGTTGTTACATTTACCCAATAGAAGAAAGATTAGCCTACACAAAATTGACCTAACATGATGTAATTACACCAAAGCAGCAGTGGGGGGCAGGATGACTTCATCAGACAAGACTTCTGAAGCAAAACTGAAAAGACAAAATATTGTTTCTAAAATCGTGACTTAAAAACTTGTTCAAATAAAACACAATAGTAACTCAGTTTAAAAACAGTGTATGAACAGCTTGAGGGCCACGAACAGACGGAGCCGTACCTTCTTCCTGGCCATCAGCAGGTCCTGGTACACGTTGGAGCGCAGAAAGCGGGCGTAGCTGTCACTTTTCATCAGTTTGTAGATGTGGGCCTGGGATGAAAGGACAGAAGGGAAATCATGACAGGTGGAGATGACAGCTGATGGACGACATATAATCCCCCTGTTTAAGTCCCCCACGCCCCAAAGCCTGCAACAGGAGCAGGAGAACGTGATCAACACCACCCTCCACGTCTCTCCACTTCCTCCCCCACAGCCTTATCTCTCAGCCGGGGCGGCAGGCATATTGTCTTGCAATCGCAGCACAATATAAAGCCATTAGCTGCTACTGATGAAGCGTCTGAGGGAGACAAATGGAGCGGGCGGAGGTGTGGGATGGAGTTCCAGGGTGTGCAGTGGAGGAGATCGCCGGCTGAGATTGAAATTAAAAGGAAGATAGAAACGCATTCTCTCAGATTAGACTCTGCAGCAGAGACTGTGCTGCACAGGAACACATCTGTGGCCTCCTCGCTCTAACTCTGCTAATGCTGTTAGCTTTGATGCAGTGAGCTGCACATATATATTGACTGGAAACGTAGACAAATATATTGGTTCTATATTGGTTCTTTCTATATCTGTCCAATCTTTAATGTGATGTCACAGCAAATATATATTACTAATGTATTTCTGTTCATATATTTTAATATTATTTATCCTATATATTTTTGGATTACATTTATATTATTGCATTCTTTATCGCCTTCTCAGATCTTAGATAGTTTTTATTGAATAGTCTTCTGAATAAAGTACAATCTAATCCTAATCCCAAATTTATTTACACCACCATATTAAAAAAAAAAGGATCACATTAAAAGCAGGTCTGAAAAAATGTTAAAACTTTTCATTTGATTCATCACTGGTTAGCTGCAGATTATTTCTGATTAATGGTCATTGCTCTAGATTGTAATTACAAATGTTGTGTCCTCACCTGTGCATCTTCGTAGCTGTACCTCCCAGGATCCTTCAGGTTCTGGCTGGTCCGTTCGTAGCTGTGGGAGTCCAGGTTGATGGAGCTGGGCGCTCCTTCAGCCAGGAACTCCGCCCAGATGTCCTGGGCTCTTTGTGCCACTTCCTGTTGAGGCATTCGCTTCAGGTGCTGCACTGCCAACCAGAACCTTCTCAGAGAAACAGAAGGGACAACAAAACGACAGGGTTAGAGGTCACCCACAGGTCAGGGCTCCTGTCGTCATCTTTGGTTTTTGCGCTCTTTTATTATATTATTTGAATTGATCTATGATGTAGACTATCATCTTGTGGCTGAATAATTAAAAACATCTTCTCCTCCTCACCGCAGGTTTTCTGAGCTAAACTCCGACTCCAGAAACTTGAGGAAGAGGTCTCGTCCTAGGGGGTCTTTGAGCGCCTCCTCCAGGGAGAAACCCCACTTCTTCACCCGCTGCTGACTGGTCTCCTTACTGTGGGTCAAAAGGGAGAGAGAGTGAAAATGAGCATCAAAAAGAAGCTGCAGCCGGAAGTTTTGAATTAAATAAAAAACTGGAAAATTACACATGAAAAAAAAGTGAATAAAGAGTGGGATAATATTTACTGGTTTCATCCTTTTAATAGTTTTTTTTCAATAATTCCACTGCATTATCAACAATTATCCATCCATCCATTTTCATCTGCTTATCCGTTACCGGGTCGCGGGGGCAGCAGTCTCCACCCACATCACACTGCACCGTACCAACCCCCCAAACCTTCCTGCAGGTGGTGAGTCCACTGGAAGGTACCAACCGCCCTAACCAGGAGGAGAACCCTGGGGTTCCACACCAATGACAGAGACAGTGGCTCTGGGCCAAAGCGCCACTATCAACAATTATTTTGGACTTATTGTGTAGTATCTTAGCACCATACCATGTATTTTATTTTTCGTTCAATATTAAACTATTCAAATACAGGTTTATATGTTGATATTTTCAGTTTTTTAAGATGAAAAAATCTTATAAAAAAAGTTTAAATGACCTGGTCTTTTATCTTTTCTGACACTTCTGGGGTCTCGGACCCACCGTTGAGCAGCTCCGGTTCAGTGTCTGCGAAAGACAAACTCTGGTTGTTACTGTACCTGGTCTCCAGATCCCAGAAGGAGGGGTCGTCGCTGGTCCAGGGGTTGGATGGTTCTAGTGGAGTCACGAAGGGGTCGTACTCCAGGTACTGCTCAGTGTAGCTCATCAGACTGACACACACACACACACACACACACACACACACACACAGAGTGCAGAGGAAGATGAGGTCAGAAGACGGCAGTTCAACCCTCTCCTCTGGTTATACTTGTAGACAAGACTTGAGAGTTTAAAAGCTTTTCTAGGTGAAAATAATGCATTATGGGAAAGGCTTCAGTGTGGAACATCTGCTCTAATCAAAGTCAGCAGAGCTCAGTAGTGAACCCAAAACCTCTTTGATAAAGTCAGATGGATTAGAACTGAAAGACGCAGTGAAGCGGAGACGGCAGGAGTTTCAAGACATTACAGACTGAATAGGGGCCACACAGAGGATAGCGGTTCCTGCTCCTGCCTTACAGCCCTGTCCCTCAGCATTGACTGCTACGATCAGGAACATTTTCTTAGATATTTATTATTAGACATGCCATGAAGTACACTGAACTGTCCTAAAATATTTTCCCCATTTTCCTGAGTGAAATGCCACCAGCAGGAGGTTACTTCAATTTCAAACAACAAATAAAAAAAACCGTTCTCCCACATAAGAGGGGAACATCAGCCCCCTCTTGTGGTTCAGTGAACATGTTCATGTCAAGTTAAGTGTCATTGTAAAAAAAAAAAAAATCTTTACAATTCTCCTTCCAAAACAACAAAAACCTAGCTTAAAAATGTAGAAAATATATATGATAAATACAAATATATTTATATATAAATTATATTATAGCAAATCTAAAATTACTAAGGAAAGCCAATCATCGGCCGAACTATTAAGAAAATTTGCCCCAAAAAAGCTAATAGTGGATATAAACATATTGTAAAGGTAGCAGAAAATGATCCTGGAAAAAAGAAAAAAAAAAGAAAAACCTTAACACAAAAATAAAAACACTGGCTTTGAATTGTATTAATTCATACAAATCCTAAACCATCGACTGCTGCCAGAGAAGATGGAAATCTGATGGATATAATTAAAAATCCCAGATTTAAACCAGTGACCTTCTCTGCCGCAGTGCCGTTCAGACTGGACTGAAATGACAACATCAGCCTCTGGGCTCACTTCACATTTACTGCAGGTGAAATGTGGCGTTACCTTTCAGCAACCTTCGACATCTTCATGCAGTGTCGGTCCAGCTGCGTGTTCAGGAATAAGATCTGGAAGAACAGACAACACGACGAGTCAGCGTTGGCTTATACTGGAGTCGTTTCCCTGAGTGGAGTGTGCAAAAAAAAAAAAAAAAACATTTCAAATATTTCAAAGCCATTGTTGTTCAAAAGAAAGTTGTTTTTTTTTAACCAAAAATCTTAAATGATTACTTTAAAAAATATGTTGAAAAAAGGTAACAGGTATCCTGAAATAGATCATCAGATCAAGTCAAGTCATTTGTTTTAGGAGAAAAAAAAACCCCAAGAAAAATAGAAGTCAATGTTGAAGCCTAAAACATGACAAAGCTTAAAGACACAATGAGCATTTTATCTAAATAAATTGTGCCCCCTTGTGGACAGAATAAGAACTACATCATCAGTACAACATACCAAGCTAAGCTCAGGCCTTTTTTTCC